CCAATTGCACTGCTGCTGTTCTGAGGAGTCTCAGATGGGTCTTTCCTCTAACTATCAAGAGAAAGAGGCCAGTCACAGCAGCTCATGCCTGTAATCCCAGAACTTTGGGAGGCTGAGGTGGGCGGATCACCTGAGGTCAGGAGTTCGAGACCAGCCTGGCCAACATGGAGAAACCCATCTCTACTAAAAATACCAACATTATCCAGGTGTGGTGGTGGGTGCCTGTAATCCCAGCTACTTGGGAGGCTGAGGCAAGAAAATTGCTTGAACCCGGGAGGTGGAGGCTGCAGTGAGCTGAGATCGCGCCCCTGCACTCTAGCCTGGGTGACAGTCTCAAAAAAAAAAACAAAGAAAGACAGAAAGACAGACAGACAGAAAGAAAATTGGGTTTTCTTTCGACAGATTAACCACCACACTTGAAAATGGGAGGGAAGATTTCCAGCAAATTTAAAAAACGTGTTTGTGTATATCTTTGTTAAAATGCAGGCCACAAGGGCACAGATGATTCCCCAGGTGGCTTTGGGAAGGAAGGGACACCTTGGGATTCTCCATCACACCCTAGCTCAGCAGTTGGCAAATTTTTCTGGTAAGGTGCCAAATAGGTGACATTTTCCATTCTGCAGGCCATAGGGTTTCTGTGCCACTACTCCACTTTGCAGTTGTAGTATGGAGGTTGCTAAAGCAATTGTAGGTAATACACACACAAAGGGGTGTGGCCAGATTCCAACACAACTTGTTTTTTTTTTTTTTTTTTGAGATGGAGTTTCACTCTTGTGGCCCAGGCTACAGTACAATGGCACGATCTCAGCTCACCGCAACCTCCACTTCCCAGGGTCAAGCGATTCTCCTGCCTCAGCCTCCCAAGTAGCTGGGATTACAGGCATGTGCCACCACACTTGGCTAATTTTGCATTTTTAGTAGAGACAGGGTTTCTCCATGTTGGTCAGGCTGGTCTCGAACTTCCAACCTCAGGTGATCCACCCAGCTTGGCCTCCCAAAGTGCTGCAATTGCAGGCGTAAGCCACTGCGCCTGGTCTAACACAACTGTTTTTTTTGGAGACAGTCTAGCTCTGTCGCCCAGGCTGGAGTGCAGCGGAAAAATCTCAGCTCACTGCAACCTCTACCTCCCAGGTTCAAACAATTCTCCTGCCTCAGCCTCGTGAGTAGCTTGGACTACAAGTGTGCACTACCACACCCGGCTAGTTTTTGTATTTTTAGTAGAGAAAGGATTTTTACCACAGCGGTCAGGCTAATCTTGAACTCCTGACCTCAAGGGATCTGCCTGGCTCGGCTTCCCAAAGTGCAGGGATTACAGTTGTGAGCCACTGTGCCTGGCCCCAATAAAACTTTATTTACAAAAACAAGCCGTGGGCCAGACGTGCCCTCTGGGCTGTAGTTTGCTGACTCCTGCCCTAGAGCAGATATACATGAAGGGCAATGAGGAAGGGCAACGAGGAAGCCCATGCAAAAATACGTTCTCCTTCAACGTGCAATGGTGGAGGAAGCAAAATGGGTTCCAACATGAACCCCAAGTGAACACTCCCAGGGTAGGTGCTGTACACTGTGGCCTTCTCTGCACTCACCACCCACAGCTTATCACTTCGGCAGTGACTCCCAGCCTGTAGTCTTGTTTTCTAATACACAAAATCTGAACACAAACCAGGTGGCCATCAACTGGGGACTGGTTAAATTAATCATGGTATGTCTTTACAATGGCATATTTGCAGTTATTAAGAATCATATTGTGATTGAGTGTGGTGGCTCACACCTGTAATCCCAGCACTTTGGGAGGCTGAGGCGGGTGGGTCACTTGAGGGCAGAGGTTCGAGACCCGCCTGGCCAACATGGTGAAACCCCATCTCCACTAAAAATACAAAAATTAGCTGGGCAGGCACCTGTAATCCCGGCTACTCAGGAGGCTGAGGCATGAGAATTGCTTGAACCTGGGAGGTGAATGTTGCATTGAGCCGAGATCACTCCACTGCACTCCAGCCTGGGCGAGAATAAGATTGTCTCAAAAAAATAAATAAATAAAAATTTTAAAAAAGAATGATATTGTGGTTCATGCCTGTAATCCCAGAAATTTTGGAGGCCGAGGTGGGAGGTGTGTTGAGTCCACAAGTTTGAGAGCAGTTTAAGCAACAAAGGGAGACCCTGTCTCTACAAAAAAAAAAAAAAAAAAATTAGCCTGTGGTACGTGCCTGTGGTCCCAGCTACTTGGGAGACTGAGGTGGGAAGATCGCGGCTGCAGTGAGCTCTCATCACGCCACTACACTCCAGCCTTGGCAACAGAGTGAGACCCTGTCTTTTTTTTTTTTTTGAGACGGAGTCTCGCTCTATCACCCAGGCTGGAGTACAGTGGTGCAATCGTGGCTCACTGCAACCTCCACCTCCAAAGTTCAAGAGATTCTCCTGCCTTGGCCTCCTGAGTAGCTGGGATTACAGGCACGTGCCACCACACCCGGCTAATTTTTGTATTTTTAGTAGGGAAGGGGGTTCATCGAACTCCTGACCTCGTGATCCGCCCACCTCGGCCTCCCAAAGTGCTGGGATTACATGCATAAGCCACCCTATCAAGCCTAAAAAAGTTTTTCAAACAAAGTAAAACAAACAAAAGCCACTTAAAGCCACTCCAATGGTATTTAAGGATATTATGGACCCCTCCAGGGTTATCTGCCCCAAGGAAGCTAATGTCCTAATAGAAGCCAATGAAGATCACAACACTGGTGTCAGGGGCAGCCTTGATCACAGTGGACAAAATATAAACCAAGTCCAGCAAGAAGGTGGCTAAGGACTGATTTACTGACACTGCACCATAAGTAAAAACGAGAACTATTAACACCTCCCAGCAACACGGCAAGTGTAAAGAAAATAATGCTGAAGTGAAAACAGCAGAACTCATCCTTCCTTATCCACTCTCAAAACGTACATACAGGAATACGGAAAATGCTGCATGAGGATGGTGAAGAGAGGAAAAGGTGTACCAGGTTGGACATTATTTGCATTTTTTTTTTTTTTTTTTTTTTTTTTTTGAGATGGAGTTTCGCTCTTGTCGCCTAGGCTGGAGTGCAGTGGTGTGATCTCGGCTTACTGCAACCTCCGCCTCCCGGGTTCAAGTGATTCTCCTGCCTCAGCCTTTTGAGTAGCTGGATTACAGGCGCGCGCCACCACGCCTGGCTAATTTTTGTATTTTTTAGTAGAGACAGGGTTTTGTCATGTTGGCCAGGTTGGTCTCGAACTCCTGACCTCAGGTGAAATGCCCACTTCGGCCTCCCAAAATGCTAGGATTACAGGGTGTGAGTCACCCACCGCACCCACCCTGTTTGTAATATATATATTTTTTTGAGACAGAGGATCTTGCTCTGTCACCCAGGCTGGAGTGCAGTGGCATGATCTCAGCTCACTGCAACCTCCACCTCCCAGGCTTTTAAGCAATTCTCGCCTCAGCCTCCTGAGTAGCTGGGATTACAGGGGCATGCCAGCATACCCAGCTAATTTTTGCATTTTTAGTAGAGACGGGGTTTCACCATCTTGGCCAGGCTGGTCTCAAACTCCTGACCTCGTGATCCACCTGCCTCGGCCTCCCAAAGTGCTGGAAGCCACCGCGCTGGCCTCTGTGTGCAATTTTTAAAAATGCTGTCATCAGCCTTTAATGGTGCGTGTGCAGACTGCACAAAGAAAAGTGGATGAGAAGACAGAAAACACACATAGTGATGATACCCACAGCTACAGGCGCTCTCAGGCACTCAGCCGCATTCGAGTTCATCGAAACTTACAACAATCTTAGGCACACACAACTTGCAGGCCCATTTTAGAGATGTAGAAGCTGAGGCTTGGAGAGGGGAAAGCAATTAGCCAAGGTCCCACTCAGAATGAGCTGAGATGGGATTTGAACTCACGCCTAACTGACCCAGAACATTAGTGCTTAAACGCTACGAGACACTAGGTACCCAAACTTCAAACTCTGATAACGTCTGGTGCCAGTGAAGGTTCTTGAAAAGCTTCCTTAAGAGACACAACCATGAGATTCCATTTTTTAAATGTACAGCAGCCACTAACTAGCATCTGAAAAAGCCACGCTGCTGTTATTAACAATGAGATGACAGTTCTCTGGAGAAAAAGAGCACTATTGAAACAAAACCTCAATGACAGGATTCTCTTCTGAGAGCACGATTCATCCCCATAATGGACAAATGCCTCGCCTCATTGAGACCTCCGCGCCAGTCTGAATAGGGCAGGAAGGTTTCTTCACACCATTCATCTGGCTTGCGAGGGACTCACCAAGATCTCGGCATGCCTGTTCTGAGAAGGACACCGACCTCAGCAAAGCCAGACCCAGCAGCTCCGACCTCTGCTACTTACAGACCATGGCGTGATGCTTGGCTGGGATACAGCAAGAAAATGAATTTACAGAAGTGATCAAGGAGAATTCTACAACCTGAAAGGCAGCAAAAGTGGACTTGACCCTGGTCTAGCAACAGCCCACCATTAGCAATCAGTCAAAATTCCACTTGCTCAATTCTTTTTTTTTTTTTTGAGACAGAATCTCACTGTGCCACCCAGGTTGAAGTGCAGTGGCGCAACCTCAGCTCCACCTCCCAGGTTCAAGCAATTCTCATGCCTCAGCCTCCCAAGTAGCTGGGATTATAGGCGCACGCCACTGTATCTGGCTAATTTTTCTATTTTTTTAAGTACAGATAGGTTTTCACCATGTTGGCCAGGCTAGTTTCGAACTCCTGACCTCAAGTGATCTGCCTGTCTTGGCCTCCCAAGTGCTGAGATTACAGGTATGGGCCACTGCGCCGAGCCCCATTTGCCCAATTATTGACCATCATTTATTGAGCTAAATCCAAAAAGGAAACTCTACCACTGACCCTTTTCTTTTTCACGGTCTCCAAAATGAATCCTAGGTTTTTCCCGCAGGGTAATTCAAAAGGACTCAGGTTGGAAATTGACTTCTTGCTTAAAAAAAAAAAGTATAAGCAAAAGGTCCTTTTTAGAAATGAGGTTTATTTTCAAGGCTACTCAGTCCTAAAAGCCTGCATATTTACTTTTTTTCCTTCCTCCAGGTTTACCTCCAAGTCAGGATTTCAAAAACCACCAACATTCGGGCTCATTCTTACTGGTATAAACAAACAAACAGAAAAAAGCAGACAACAAAAAACTCAACGAGCAAATCACACAGCTGTGGGATTCAGCGCCAACCCCGGGTGTTTCATTTTGGCAACGAAACCAGGATTCCCTTTCAAAGAAGCTTCTGGAAAATGCTGTATTTCCTAGATGCAGGCCCCTGGTTTTTCAACCTCAAAATCACCTACTCAAAAAGCAGACTCAGAAACCCAAGGTTTTAGAACATGGTCCCAATGTCACCACATCATAAAATCACTCTCATTCTTGCAACCGTACAATGAATGGCTCCCAAAGTCATTTTATTTAACAAAGGGGTCAAGGCAGAGGAAAATTTCCCTTAACATTCCCACAACTGCTCCACATGTCTTCTGTGGAAACACTGCACCAGGAACTAGCTCAACGCTCTTGCTAACAATTTAGTTTCTATACCGGAAGGCTGGTGTCCCTGTTACAGGTGGCCCGTTCCTTAAAGCCTTAGGGTTAATCACAGCTGCACTGAGTGGCCAAGCAGACCCTGTTGGGATGTGAAAAGAATTTGTTAACAGGACCCTGGCTGGGCCCAAAGGCTGTCAGACTCAGCAAGTAACACTGAATGTCCAAAAACACAGCTGTGTTAAACTTACAAGCCAATCCTTCTGCTCAGATCTCTGGAGAGAAATGATTTTTCTTTTATCTATGGGGAATGCAATTTCATCACAGTCCCTTATATAAACCCTCCTGAAACCCCTTCAGCGGACAGCATTCCAATTCAGAGACTAAAGTGAAACTATCTTTGAAAACAGGGACGTGGCCGGGAAGCCATGCCTATCTCGGCGAACACTTTTCCACGCACCACGAGCTTGGGCTTTCTGGGAAGGTTGTCGGTTCTCTGGTCAAAAACATTCTTGAAGTCATCAGGAATGGAGGAATGGAGACTCAGCATCCCGGGAAAGTGAGTTCCTGGTTTCATCGCTGGGATTCAAGAGCCGAACAGCCTGGAGAAGTCAGAGGGCAGAAATGTCTGTGAGGATAGGACGTGATTGTTTTAAAAATATTGTCAGAGATTATTTTACATGACTATTAGTTAGATGATTTTACATGATTGCCTGTTTTTTTCAAGTAACCTGTGATCCACCTGTGAATATAATGAACAATATTGAACCACACAGTTAAAAGAAGGATATCCTCTTTTTTTTTAGAGTCGTGCTCTGCCGCCCAGGCTGGAGTACAGCGGTGCGATCTCGGCTCACTGCAACCTCTGCATCCCAGGTTCAAGCGATTCTCCTGCCTCAACCTGCTGAATAGCTGCAATTACAGGCACCTGCCACCAAGCCAGGTTAATTTTTGTATTTTCAGTAGAAACGGGGTTTTGCCATGTTGGCTGGGCTGGTTTCGAACTCCTGACCTCAAGTGATCCCCCCTGCCTCAGCCCTACAAAGTGCTGGGATTACAGGCGTGAGCCACTGCACCCAGCCAACACCATCACCCTGTAAGGGAAGGTGGTACACCTGTTAAACAAAAGATACATACAAGAACTTTCGGTATATTCTTTGCAACATTTCCACAAATCTAAACTCATTCCAAAATAAAAAGGTTATCTGAAAAAAATAAGAGAGCAGAAACAGCTGGATTTCCACATGCAAAAGAATAAAGATGGACCCCTGCTTAACGCCATATAAAAAAATGTACTCAAAACAGATCACAGACCTACCTACCTACCAGAATCCAAACTACAAAACTCTTGGAAGAAAACTTACACGTACATCTTTGTAACCTTGGGTTAGGCAATGATTTCTTACTATAATACGCAAAGCACAAGTGACAAAAAGAAAAAAACATAAATTCAACTTCATCACAATAAAAAACTTTTTTTTTTGAGATGGACTCTTGCTCTGTTGCTCAGGGTGGAGTGCTGTCGGGCAATCTCGGCTCACTACAACCTCCGACTCCTGGGTTCAAGCAATTCTTCTGCCTCAGCCTCCAGAGTAGCTAGGATTACAGGCGACCGCTACCACGCCTGGCTAATTTTTGTACTTTTAGTAGGGATGGGGTTTCACCATGTTGGTCAGGCTGGTCTCAAGCTCCTGACCTCAAGTGATCCAACTGCCTCATCCTTCCAAAGTGCTGGGATTACAGGCAGGAGCCACTGTGCCTGGCCATTCACAATAAAAAACTTTTGTGCTTAAAATGACATCATCAAGAAAGTGAAAAGACAACATATGAAATGGGAGACAATGCTTGCAAAATACGCACGTGATAATGAACTGATAATGAGAATACACAAAGAACCCTTATGGATCAGCAATAACCCAATTTTCAAAAACGGCAGACAATCTTAAGAAGACATTTCCTCAAAGGAGACAGACAAATGGCCAATAGGTACATGAAAATATGTTCAATATCGGCCGGGCACAGTGGCTCACGCCTGTAATCCCAGCACTTTGGGAGGCCGAGGCGGGTGGATCACGAGGTCAGGAGTTCGAGACCAGCCTGGCCAAGATGGTGAAACCTCATCTCTACTAAAAACACAAAAATTAGCCGGGCGTGGTGGCACATGCCTGTAATCCCGGCTACTCGGGAGGCTGAGGCAGGAGAATCGCTTGAACCCAGGAGGCGGAGCTTGCAGTGAGCCAGGATCACGCCAATGCACTCTAGCCTGGTGACAGAGAGAGACTCTGTCTCAAAAAAAAAAAGAAAAAAAAAGAAAATATGTTCAATATCATTAACTATCAGGGAAATGCAAATCAAAACCTTCAAACTGGCTGGGCACAGTGGCTCATGCCTGTAATTCCAGCACTTTAGGAAGCTGAGGTGGGTGGATCACTTTAGTCCAGGAGTTCTGGACCAGCCTGGGCAACAGGGTGAAACCCAGTCTCTATAAAAAAATACAAAAATTAGCCAGGTGTGGTGCTGCACACCCGTAGTCCCAGCTACTTAGGATGCAGAGGCCAAAGGATCAATTGAGCCCAGGAAGCAAAGGTTGCAGTCAGTCGAGATTTTGCCACTGTACTCCAGCTCCAGCCTGTGCAACAGAGTGAGACTCTGCTTCAAAAACAAAAAACTTTCATACCTATTAGGATGACTGTAGTCAAAAGATTAACAGTAACAGAGCTGGCAAGGATATGGAGAAAGTGTAATCCTCAAGTGTAATCCTCGTAGGCTGCAGGCAGGAATGTAAAATGTTGTAGCTATTTAGAATATTCTGGTGTTTTCTCAAAAGGATAAATCCAGGCTGGGTGCAGTGGCTCATACCTTTAATCTCAGCACTTTGGGAGGCTGAGGTGGGTGGATCACTTGAGGTCAGGAGTTTGAGACCAGCCTGGCCAACATGGTAAAACCCCGTTTCAGCCAGGGCAGTAGCTCATGCCTGTAATCCCAGCACTTTGGGAGACTGAGGTGGGTGGATCATGAGGTCAGGAGTTCAAGACCAGCCTGGACAACATGGTGAAACCCTGTCTTTACTAAAAATACAAAAAATTAGTCAGGCGTGGTGGCGCATGCCTGTAATCCCAGCTACTCAGGAGGCTGAGGCAGGAGAATCGCTTGAACCTGGGAGGTGGAGGTTTCAGTGAGCCGAGAACATGCCACTGCACTCCAGCCTTGGCAACAGAGTGAGACTCTGTCTCCAAAAAAAAACAAAGAAAATTATAAACGTAGAGTGATCATATAACCCAGCAATTTCACTCCTATGTAGCTAATAACTAAAAACATAAATCTGCACAAAAACTTGTACATGAATGTTCTTGTCACCATTATTCATAATAGGTAAAAAATACAAACATCCCAACTATCCACCAACTGATAGATGGAAAACTGGGGTACAGTCATACAAGGGAATATGATTCTGCCATGAAAAGGAATGAAGCATCGCTCCACACTACAACATGGATGAACCTCAAAAACATGATGCTGAGCGAGAGATGCCAGGCACAAAAGGCCATGCAGTGTATGACTCCATTTATATAAACTGTCCACATGAGGCAAATCCACAGAGACAGGAAGCCGATGAGTTGTTGCCAGAGGCTAGCAGAGGGGGAATGGGGAGTGACTGCCAGTGGGCACGCGACTTCTTTCTGTGTTGATGAAAACGTTCTGAAATTGGATAGAGATGGTGGCTGCACAATCCTGTGAATATTCTATAAAATACTGGATTGAGAAGACAGACTTCCGCGTTTTACTTGTAAACTCTCTCCATGGTTCATTTTCTCCCTAACTTTTCCTGTTATTTTATGAAAATTTCAACACATAGAAGAGTTGTGTTGAAACACACTGCCACCACCTACATTCTGCAATTAACACTTTGCTGTACCACATACCTATCCATGTATCTATTCATTTATCCGTATTTTTGATGTGTTTCAATGTAAGTTATAAATGACGTGCTACCGATCCCTAAATACTCAGGGACGTTTCTCCCCTTATTTCAGACTTTTCATAACTTCTTAAAATTTCCAAAGCTCGGCCAGGCACGGTGGCTCATGCCTGTAATCCCAGCACCTAAGGAGGCCGAGGCAGGCAGATCACAAGGTCAGGAGATGAAGAGCATCCTGGCTAACATGGTGAAACCCCATCTCTACTAAAAATACAAAAAATTAGCCGGGCGTGGCGGTGTGCGCGTGTAGTCCCAGCTACTTGGGAGGCTGAGGCAGGAGAATGGCGTGAACCCGGGAGGTGGAGCTTACAGTAAGCTGAGATTGCGCCACTGCATTACAGCCTGGGAGACAGAGCAAGACTCCGTCTCAAAAAAAAAAAAAAAAAAAAAAATTATAGTTCATTTTCCTGAATTTTTCTAAGAGTTTGGTGAAAATTTAACACAGAAGAGCTGGGAAGTTGAAACATCACAATGCTTGCATTCGGGCAAAATTAAGACTTCACAAAAATGACACCATCCACAAATGCATTCATTATCCAGTGATTTTAAGGTTTCATGTGCTTATAAATGACGCTGTACCATCCCAACACTCAGACTTTCCTATTCAGACTTTTCTACAACTTCTGCACTTCCAAGTCACAGGCATTTGGTCATGGCCAATCCACTTGGTTGGGAGTTTATGTGGACTCAAGGCACAGAGATGTGTGTGAGACCTCATAATACAGGAAACCTACCTTTACACTTGAAATATAAAATAGCTGTATGGGGGAAAAGGGCGTGGTCCCAGCTGCTGGAGGCTAGGCAGAGAGAATTATGAACTGCAGGTGGAGCTTTATGTGCTGGAGATGTTAATGGTCACAGCCCAGAGATAGATGACTGCCTCAACAAAAACAAAGCTCTAAGAACAGAAGGGGTACAGAGTTGGTGGTGGTTTACGCCTGTAATCTCAGTACTTTGATGAGGCAAACATTGAAAGCTAGGAGTTTGGGACAGCTTTGGCCAATGAGATGAACTGCATCTCACTTGGAAAGGTGGAAAACAGCTGGGTGGGTAGGACAGTCTCTGGAAAAAAAAAAAAAAAAAAAAAAAAAATTTCCAAAGCTCAAACAACACAGAAGTGGGCACAGGGAGGTTGGGCGTGGTGGCTCACGTCTGTAATCCCAGCACTTTGGGAGGCTGAGGCGGGCAAATAATTTGAGGTCAGGAGTTCGAGACCAGCCTGGTCAACAGGATGAAATCCCATCTCTACCGAAAGCAGAAAAATTAGCCAAGTGTGGTGGTGCGTGTCTGTAGTCTCAGCTCCCTGGGAGACTGAGGCAGGAGAATAACTTGAACCCGGGAGGTGGAGGATGCAGTGAGCCGAGACTATGCTACCGCACTCCAGTCTGGGTGACACAGCAAGACTCCATCTCAAAAAATAAGAATAAAAATAAATGGGCACGGGGAATATTGAACCATGCCCAGGCTCTGCCAATTTCCTCAGCAACTGCTGCAGGGTCCCCTCTCTACCCCATCTGGAGTGGATCCTTCCAACTCCCTCGCTAAACAGTGTTTCACTCCCATACTTCAGGCACTCATTTAGGGTTTATCCATGGTTGCATGTTACACAGCCGAAGTCAGGCTGCACAGACGAGTACCCTTCGGCCTTCTTCACTTTCAGAACATTTCATTTCCCCATGCAGACAGAACCTTCTGGCACATCATCAGTGACGGTATCATGACAGCTGGTCACATGGGCATCCTTCAAGTTACCTGATCCTTCTCCTGTTCTTGGACACTTAGGTGATTTCCAGGTTTTAAATGTCCTGGGAAAGCCAGTCACTCCCTCCCTGAGACAGCCCTTTCTTGAGAGAATCTTCTCTCACCCATGGCCCCCAGTGAAAGAGCTGGCCTGGGTCAGGGGTTGGCACATTTTCTCTGTAACGGGCGACTGTTTACTAACAGTTTTGGCTCTGCGAGTCATGTGGTCTCTGTCACACAACTCAACTCCACCGCTGTGACACAGAAGCAGCCACACACATGAACTTTTGTGAAGTTCATTCACAAAAACAGGCAGTGGGGAGATTTGGCCTGTGGTCTCATGACCCTTGACCTAAGTGGTTATAGCAGAATCAAGAACCCCTACCCCAAATGGACCTGAGTGACACCAAGGTGGGTCAACCAGACTCTGCCCCAGGAAACAAAATCAGGACCCTGGGCTACTGATTATGCTGATCTTGGAAAGCTGAGCTGGGAGGACGCCCGAGGCTGCTGTTCTGGCTGGCAGACGAGGGAGTGAAGATGTTGGTCAAATAGGAGAGGATGATGAAGCAGGTGCATAGGAAAGATGAGAATGAGAGAAGCAGGCTGACTTCTTCCCTGCCCCAGGACCTCTGCAAAGATGAGAATGAGGGAAGCATAGTGACTTCTTCCCTGCCCCAGGACCTTTGCGAAGACGAGAATGAGGGAAGCATAGTGACTTCTTCCCTGCCCCAGGACCTTTGCGAAGACGAGAATGAGGGAAGCATAGTGACTTCTTCCCTGCCCCAGGACCTTTGCAAAAACGAGAATGAGAGAAGCATGCTGACTTCTTCCCTACCCCAGGACCTCTGCAAAGACGGGAATAAGGGAAGAATGCTGACTTCTTCCCTGCCCCAGGACCTTTGAACATGCTACTTCCTGTGCCACCATGCTTTTCTCCAGCTCTGCAAATGGCAAACGTCTTCTTGTCCTTCAGGTCTTGATTATTTATTATTTGTTTGGAGACGGGTCTTCTTCTGTTGCCCAGGCTGGAGTGCAGTGGCAGGATCTCAGCTCACTGCAACCTCTGCCTCTAGGGCTCAAGTGATCCTCCCACCTCAGCCTCCCAAGGAGCTGGAACTACAGGAAGGCACCACTACATTCGGCTAATTTTTAAATTTTTGGTAAACATGGAGTTTCACCATGCTGCCCAGGCTGGTTTCAAACTCCTGGGCTCAAGCAATTCTCCTACCTCGGCCTTACAAAGTGCTGGGATTACAGGCCTGAGCCACCGCGCCTGGCCATTCCTACACTTTCATGCAAGTTCCTTGATCTCTTCACAATCTTTCTCTGTTCCTAGGCAAGCCTCATACGTGCTCTCAAATCCTCTCTGCCAGGTAGGATACCTTGGCAAGGGCCTTTCTGGGAATACATCATGGTCCTTGTGATGAGGGTGAAATGCCATCCTCCCCAGATCTCCTATGCTCTGGAAGCATCTCCGCAAACAGCCACTGGGGTGGCACGCGGACTGCACAGCAACCCCACGTTCGGAGTCTCAGTCGCTCAGGACAGCCAACTTTTTGTCCTCTTTCTTTCTGGGGGAAGTATGCAGGGATGGACCCATGGAGGCCAAGAACACCAGATTCTCCCGTTGTGTCTTTTCCCAAATCCATTTACAGCAAATCTCACAATTTGTTAACAGCAGTATCAGAGTTACGGACCCAATGCTAGATGGAAAGGCAATCTGCTTGAGTTTTCTCAGCCTAACGAGAAAATGAAAAGCCAGAATTGAAAACAATAAAGTCTGAATACATTTCTGCTGGCTTCCAGCCCAGCTAGAGCAGGTTCTGGAAGCATGCCGGACATTTAAACCACATTTTCCACCTCGGCAGATGCAGCAGAGCTGGTGAGAGGTGACAGGGCCATGGGCTCAGGAAAGGCATCTCCTGGCAGCCCCTGCAGAGGTGCCAGGCATAGCCAGGGGCTGGAGAACTCCATGTTCCAATCAAAGTTCCAGCCTGGTTCGGTGGGGACGCAGGGACAGAGTTTAACCCTTTCAGGTACTGGTTCCCTCACTTACTCATTTTGAAGAGAGAAAGCAGGGCCAGGCGTGGTGGCTCACACCTGTAATTTTGGGAGGCCGAAGCAGGTGGATCACGTGAGGTCAGGAGTTCGAGACCAGCCTGACCAACATGGTGAAACCCTGTCTCTTGTAAAAATACAAAAATTAGCCAGGTGTGGTGGTGGACACCTGTAATCCCAGCTACTCGGGAGGCTGAGGCAGGAGAATTGCTTGAAGCAGGGAGGCACAGGTTGCAGTGAGCTGAGATCACGCCACTGCACTCCAGCCTGGGCAACAGAGCAAGACTCTGTCTCAAAAACAACAACAACAACAACAAAAACAAAACAGGGCCGGGCACAGTGGCTCACTCCTGGAATCCTAGCACTTTGGGAGCCTGAAGTGGGTGACTCACGAGGTCAGGAGATCAAGACCATCCTGGCTAATATGATGGAACCCCGTCTCTACTAAAAATACAAAAAATCAGCCAGGCATGGTGGCATGCACCTGTAGTCCCAGTTACTGGGGAGGCTGAGGCAGGAGAATCGCTTGAACCTGGGAGGCGGAGGTTGCAGTGAGCCCAGATCGCGCCACTGCACTCCAGTCTGGGCGACAGAGTAAGACTCCATCTCAAACAAAACAAAAAATAAACAAAGAAAACAGAAAACAGGATACAAGAGTGATGACTGAAAGGACAGAGAATGACCATCAGGTGGGTCATCCTGGAGAAGGAGACTAAGAGATGACACTGAAAGGAAAGGGCAGGTCGGACTCACACGATCATGCAGAACATCATGAAGATGTTCCACAGGGCGATGAAGATTCGAAAGTATCTGAGGCTCAGCAAGAATTCCCGGATGTTGTCACCTGGAAGAATCAGAAAGCACTTTTATGGCACAGTTAACATCCCACCCCTACTGCCACCTCTGCAGTGGGCTTTTGTGACTTCCACCCACCCGGCACTCACTGCCTCCAACTTCGGCAACAGTGTGACTTTTCCTTCGGGTTTCTCCCTCTTCCCCACTCTCAGCACTCAGGCTGTGTCTACCACTGACCAATCTCCTGAAAGCACCAAGTCCCTCTGCCTCTGACTGGCTCAAGAAGGGGCATGTGACCCAAGTCTGTCCAATGAGAGTCTGCCCTGGGACTTTTCCCCCAACTACTGGCAAACAGACACTTTCTGCCAAGCTTGCTGAGCTGGGAAGATGTAACCTCAGTGCCCACAGGCCAAATCCAGCAGCCTCTTCCACTTGTTTTTGGATGGCCTGTGAGCTAATAGTTTTTTTTTTTTTAATATAAAGATGGGGTTTTGCTACGTTCCCCAGGCGGGTCTTGAACTCCTGGCTTCAAGTGATCCTCCCGCCTAAGCCTCTCAAAAGTGTTGAGATTACAGGCATGAGTCTCCATACCCAGCTGGTTTTTACATGAAAAAAAAAAAAAAAAGAATATTTCGTGAGACAAAAAAATTATAAGAAATTCAAATCTCAGTGTCAATGAATAAAGTTTGATTGGCCCACAGCCATACCTATTCATTTACATATCATGTCCTGCTGCTTTTGTACTACAACGGCAGAGCTGAGTCATATTGTTGTGCCAGACAGACACCATATGGCCCGCAAAGCCTCAAATATTTACTATATGGCCCTTTACAGGAAAACATGCCAACCCCTGCTCTGGGGTCATCTTTGCCAACCCTGACCAGTCTCACAGTAAAACCAACACAAAAGAAAGGGGTACTGAGAGCTGCAGAGAGTCAGATACTGACTCTAACCCTAACCCTAACCCTAACCCCAACTCCAACCCCAACCCTAATCTTGGAGGACTGGTTTGACACCTAAACCCAGGGTGTCTGAAGACAATTCCACCCTTGGACGTTTCAATTTGCTTTAATCACTTTGAGCTGGGTTTGCAGTGTTTACAACTGAAAGCATCCTAATTCAGGCAAGGGAAAGGGAAGGTGTGTCTTGGTGAGACTTATTCTGGTCCCCTTGAAGGCCAAGGAACAGACACCCCTCTGAGGGAAGGCAATTTAGTATGTGAAGACTCCAGAGACCTGGGTTCCAAACCCTTCCTCCAGGGTTTCCAGTCAGTCATTCTCCCTCTCTGGACCTCCAGAATGAAAAGAATGGGTCCAGATTAGGCCAGGCACGGAGGCTCACACCTGTAATCCCAGCACTTTGGGAGGCCGAGGCAGGCGGATCACCTGAGGTCGGGAGTTGGAGACCAGCCTGGCCAACACAGTGAAACCCTGTCTCTACTAAAAATACAAAAGTTAGCAGGGTGTGGTGGCGCATGCCTGTAATCCCAGCTACTCAGGAGGCTGAGGCAGGAGAATCACTTGGACCCGGGAGGCAAAGGTTGCAGTGAGCTGAGATCGTGTCAAGGCAGAGCAAGACTCCGTCTCAAAAAAATAAATAAATAAATAAAAGAATGGGTCTAGATTAGGTGATCTACAAAGGTGCTACCCGAAGCATCTACAGACTGGGGCTGCTTGGTAAGTACAGCACACAGAACACAAGCCCAGAAATTTCTATTTTTCAGGGGTGACAACCTGACATTCCTGCTCCATCCGAGCCTGTGCTGAACACACCATCTTGCTGAACACGGTTTAGACGAGCCTGGTATTATCCAGACGACGGGGTCTGGTTACATGCAGCACAACCTGTATACACGGCTGATCCAGCACAGACTAGAAACACTAAGCGCTTGGTCTGTTTCCAGGAAGTCTGAGAGGCGCTGCTCAGCAGGACCCTTCCCCTAGCAAAAGATCGTGAAAACAGGACGTCCCACCATCAATAGATGCCAATCAAACGTTACTCACTGCAGGCCATGCACAGTGGTTCACACCTGTAATCCCAGCACTTTGGGAGGCTGAGGCAGGTGGATCACCTGAGGTCGGGAGTCTGAGACCAGCCTGGCCAACATGGTGAAACCACGTTTCTACTAAAAGTACGAAAAAATTAGCCAGGCATGGTGGCACACACCTGTAATTCCAGCTACTCAGGAGGCTGAGGCACGAGAATCACTTGAACCCAGGAGGTGGAGGTTGCAGTGAGCTGAGATCATGCCACTGCACACCTGGGCAACAGAGCGAGACTCTGTCTCAAAACACAAAAAAAGGTTACTCATTCCAGGCAACAGCAGTGTACAGGGGATACAGGAAGAGAGGAAGACCGGTGGCTCTGCCCCAACAAGCATATGGGGAGGAGAAATACTAAACAAATATTCCCACGTGACTGCCCTGGTGGGAAAGTTTAGGTGTCCCAGGAACACACACTGCGGAGACCCAACACGGCACGTGCATGGGGAAGGGTGGGAGATCAGAAAAAGCCTTTCCAGCCGGGCGTGGTGGCTCAAGTCTGTAATTCCAGCACTTTGGGAGGCCAAGGCAGGCGGATCAGCTGAGGTCAGGAGTTCAAGACCAGCCTGGTCAACATGGTAAAACCCCGTCTCTACTAAAAACACAAAAATTAGCTGGGCATGGCGGTGGGTGCCTGTAGTCCCAGCTAACAGGGAAGCTGAGGCAGGAGAATTGTTTGAACCCGGGAGGCGGAGATTGCAGGGGGCTAAGATGGCGCCACTGCGCTCCAGCCTGGGCAACACAGCGAGACTCCACCTCAAAAAACAAACAAACAAACAAACAAAAAAAAAAACGCCTTTCTGAGGAAGTGCCAGAGCTCCAAGTTCCGATCTCAAACATGGTCAGTTTAACAAACATGAGCTCAAATCCTGCCTCTGTCCTTCTGCACAAGTGACCTGGGCCCATCCCTGCACTATCTATGCTCATTCCCTCTTATGTCAATAGGGGTGTCAGGCAGCTAAAAAGACCTCAGCACACTGCCTGGCACACATGACGCTCTCAATAAATGCGGCCACTATGGTATTACAGTTAAGCCAGGCAAAGAGGATGGAGAGCAAGGAGCAGCTCCCACAGCGGGTGCAGCATCTGGGCTGGAAGGAGACTGGAGAGAGAGCAAAGCAGGAAGCTCCTGATAGAGCACTGGTGTCCTCCCTGGCATCCCTGTCACTGATGCTCCCGCCACTTTGTGCCAAATCTCCCGCCCACCAGAGCTCTGATTCGGATCTGTACAGTGCAACCCCAGGGCCTGGTAGTGCCTTCCACGTGGTGAGTAACACATGGCTGCTGAGTCAATGTATGAATGGATGGATAAATGAACAGATGGACAGATGGTCTAGTGATTGAGTGCACAACTGCTAGAGGCAGAAAAACCCAGGTTCTAATCCTGATTCTCTCACTCATTTGCTATGTGGCCACAAAAAAGTTGAGCCACAACTCTGACCCTCAGTTTCCTGATCTGCTTCCAGTTTCCAGTTCTGGGAACTGGAAAGTGACTATTACCTTTTAGGAATGGAGGTAGAATGCAACACTAACAGGAAGCACCTAACTAGGTCAGCACCCAAGGGGAGGTCCCCCAAAAGGAGAGCTGCTGGAGGGTCTTCAAAATCTCAGCTCAGCCAGGCATGGTGGCGCACGGCTGTGACCCCAGCACTTTGGGAGGCTGAGGTGGGAGGATTGTTTGAGGCCAAGAGTCGGACACCAGCCTGGTTAACACAGCGAGATGCCTATCTTTACAAAAAAATTTAGAAAATTAGCCAGGGGTGGTATTAACTGCCTGCAGTCCCAGCTAGTTGGGAGCCTGAGGCAAGAGGATCTTTTGAACCCAGGAGTTCAAGGCTGCAGTGAGCTATGACTGTGCCACTGCACTCCAACCTGGGCGACAGAGCAAGACCCTGTCTCTAAAAGAAGAAAATCTCTGTTCCTCAGGGTTTCCCCATCCTTGGGTAGCGCTCCATCATGGCATCCACCGCCTTGACTGTGACGCTACCTCCTCAAATGGCCTTCCCTTCCACACCCCAGCAGGAGAGCAACCCCCGTCACCATCCTGTGACTCCCTGTTACCTAACATCACCTCTGTCACCATCTATCCCCCGCTTGGAAACCATGTGTCCCACCCCATGGTAAGTTCCACTCCATCTGTCTTACCCCTACTGTATCCCAGCACCTAGCACAGTAGCCAGCATGCGTTAGGTGCTCAAATATCTAGTGAATGAAAGAATTAATGAATGGATACAATAGTCATGTACAGATCCCCTTAAGACTCCAAATAGCTACACAATTACATTCAGTAGGAAGTGTAAATTCTGGGGCCTCTAGGGCCCAGGCAGAGGATAGACATACAAAGAGGTTAGGGCTGGGATGAGGCAGAGTCGACAGGCCCCATCTCCTCAGAGTCCTCAACTACACTCAACAGTTATCAAGAGCTCTCCTGAATCTTGAGTTGCAGAATGTTCCAGTTTTTCAAGAAAAATCAGACATCTGAATTTTTATATAAATTCACCTGATTAAAAATCTAATGTTGCTGGGCGCGGTGGCTCAAGCCTGTAATCCAGCACTTTGGGAGGCCGAGACGGGCGGATCACGAGGTCAGAAGATCAAGACCATCCTGGCTAACACGGTGAAACCCCGTCTCTACTAAAAATCCAAAAAACTAGCCGGGCGAGGTGGCGGGCGCCTGTAGTCCCAGCTACTCAGGAGGCTGAGGCAGGAGAATGGCGTGAACCCAGGAGGCGGAGCTTGCAGTGAGCCGAGATCGTGCCACTGCACTCCAGCCTGGGTGACAGAGCAAGACTCCGTCTCAAAAAAAAAAAAAAAAAAATCTCATGTTGGCATTTAATTTTAAACGTGGCAGGTCTGCAGCACTCTGAAAGCAACAGCTATGTGTGAGGTTGTTCATTCATTCATTCACAGTCATCGGACGACTGGTATGGCAAGGACAAAGGATGGGAAAAGCCAAGCTAGGGTCTCTTCTCTGAAGTTTATGGTTAAACGTGAGGGGCAGACATTAGCCAGATGACAGCAAACATACAGAAAATTATAACGGTAGGAAGTGATGTGAGTGTTCACATCAGGGAGGTCTGGTGGGAGAAAGAAGTAGATGACAGAGGTAGGCAGAAAGGACAGCACATTATCAGAGTCATCTCCCACTCACACACACGCTCAATTAAAGAGAAAACTCGTGGCTCATGCCTGTAATCCCAGCCCTTCAGAAGGCCAAGGTCGGGGGAATCACTTGAACCCAGGAGTTTGAGACCGGCTTGGGCAAGGTGGAGAAACCCCATCTCTACAAAAAAATACAAAATTTAGCCTGGCATGGTGGCACACGCCTGTAATCCTAGTTACTAAGGGGGCTGAGATGGAAAGGGTCACTTTAGCCCAGGAGGTCAAAGCTGCAGTGAGCCATGATCACACCACTGCACTCTAACCTGGACAACAGAGCGAGACCTTGTGCTAAAAAACGAAAGAAGGCCGGGTGCGGTGGCTCACGCCTGTAATCCCAGCACTTTGGGAGTCCTAGGCGGGCGGATCACGAGGTCAGGAGATCGAGATCATCCTGGCGAACACGGTGAAACCCTGTCTCTACTAAAAATACAAAAAAAATTAGCCGGACGCAGTGGCGGGCGCCTGTAGTCCCAGCTACTCAGGGAGGCTGAGGCAGGAGAATGGCGTGAACCCGGGAGGCGGAGCTTGCAGTGAGCCGAGATCTGGCCACTGCACTCCAGCCTAGGCGACAGAGCGAGACTCCGTCTCAAAAAAAAAAAAAAAAAAAACGAAAGAAAAGGAAAGAAAACGAGGGTAGAACCTGGCAAAACAAAACTGTCCTCTCTGAAGTGGACCATGCAATTCAAGGGTCCAGGAAGACCTTACCTGTGCTGGGCTCCCTCGACTCTTCCCCAAAGCCCTGCGTGTCCTTCTTTTTCCTACAAAGAGGAGCAGACAGTGTCCACTTTCAATGGGACATAGAGGCCTCAGCCCCCTGACCCCCAGCTCAGAAGGCCACAAACACTAAGTTTCAGCCCTGGCCCTGCCGCTGACTTGCTGTGTGACCTCGGACGGTTCAATGTCCCTCTCTGGGCCACCACTGCCCGGACAATCACAGCCAGGTCAGCAGCCACCGACAGTTTATAAAGCGGCCCGACAGTTCGGGAGCAGTGCTGAGGGTCTGGGGTGGGGCTATTTCTTGGAGGATGGGTCTTGAGCTCTCCAGGAAGGTGAACAGAGGGACACCCAAGGAACAGAGAGTATGGGTTTAAGGTCGCTCAGGGGCGAGGAAGATTAACCCAGGCTGGAGGCGTGGACAGAGGGCGGATAGGCCGGGGCATTCGGCTTGGGGGCGGGGCCTGAGAAATGCGCCGAGATCACGCTTATGAGGGCGGGGTTACGGGTTTCCCGGATGGAGCCACAGTCCGGCCGCAGCCTACTCACAGCTTAAAGTTCAGCACTGCCCCAGCATTCATCAGCAACGTCCTGCAGAGGGAGAATTACAGTTACTAGGGGCGCCCCCGCGTCCTGCCTGGCCCTCTCTTCCCAGCCTCTGGTCCCCCTAATTACCCGAACAGCAGGATGTCTCCGATCATCGTTACGGCCAAAGCGTCCGTCAGAACCGGAAGCGGAAGCCCCAGGGAGGGAGGGGAGAGGAGCACAAGCCGACCAATCCTAAAGCAACACTGGCGAGGGCTGGGCCAATCGAAGATCAAGGTCCCACCCTCTGCAGGCCAGGCCCCCTTAGGGGAGCGCGAGCGCCCCACCTTGCTGGGGAGGCCCGGAGAGCCAGAATGGAAGGGGCAGGGTCTCCTGGGGTTGGGATTGGGTCACGCGTTCGAAGCGTGCCGCGCATGCGTGAGTTCTTTAGTGCCGTAGGATTAGCTGGGCAGCAATACCTGTTCACTTTATGGGGTCTCAAATTGGGCTTCTGGAGAAAAGGAATCCTTTGACTCCTGAGCTGCACAGGGTGCGGGGTCCTGACGCAGTGGGGTCCCTAGAAACGGGTGCCCCAACCAACTGGGCTCTAAAATGAGATCCTCCTGGGCCCCATGGGGAACGGGGGTTCCCACTGAGCTGCCCCCAACAAGACACGGGGGTCCTGACTTGCGGAGTCCCACCGAGGACGGGGTTCCTGATCGAACGGACCCTATGGGGCAGGAAAGTCTTGACGGGGCTCCACAGAGGACAGAGGTCCTAACCGATCTCCACGGGGAGCACGGGTTCTGATTCATGGGGTCCCACCAGGGCGTGGGGGTCCTCATTGGGCTCCACCGAAGATCGGGGTCCTAATTGAGCCCACGGGGACAAAGTCCTGGCTGCTCCGGCCCCCTGGGAACGGGCGTCCCGCGTGGGTGGGCTCCGTGAGGCACGGGCCCCCAGAATGGGGAGCCCCCCAGCCTCCCTCGCCTTGCAGGGGTGCCCCGCACCCCGCCTCGCTGGGCGGAACGGGGTCGCGATGGCAGTAGGGTCAGCGCCTAGGACGTCCGACCGTCCAGCTCCGTCCGTGGTGCTGGGCGTCCCCACCACCTGTCCGGATGTGGGCCGTCGCCCCTCCTCTCCCGCGGGGGCCGGGCCTGGGGTGGCGCCTGGCGGGCGGGGGCGGGCCCAGCTGCGGGGGCGCAGTCGCCGGGCCGCGGGCGGCGGGACGGACTAGACCGGGGCCCCGGGTGGCACCCGGCGGGCGGGCGGGCGCCATGGAGCTGCTCTCGGCTCTGAGCCTGGGCGAGCTGGCGCTCAGCTTCTCACGGGTGCCGCTCTTCCCCGTCTTCGACCTCAGTTACTTCATCGTCTCCATCCTCTACCTCAAGTATGAGCCAGGTGAGCCGGGGCGGGGGGCTGAGGGGGCCGGCAGCCGGGGGCGCGGGCCGGGGCAGCTGGGGGTCGCGGAGAGGGGAAGCCCGTGCGTGGTGGAGGGAGCGGGGGACAGGTTCAAGGATTGCATCGTGGGAGTAGTCAGGCGCGAGAATCATGGGGTTCTCCCACGCCGGGGTGAGCCCGGGGGAGAAGCTTCCAGGACGATGAAGCTGGGGGAAGGGAAGGAGAGGCGTGAGCCGGTTTAGAGGAGGGGGAACAGGTGCTTGGGGGAGGGGTGGAGGAAAGGTCGGGGCTCCTTGTTGGGTCAGAGCTGCAGGAACTTGGGCAAGGGGCGCCGGCTGTGGCGCGGGTGCAGGTGGGGGTCGGTGCAGCTGTTCTGGCCGCGCGCAGGTGTGACCTCCCTCCTTGACCTTGGCACGCGGAGTGGGAGCGCCAGTGGGGTGTCTATATAAGGGCCGCCGCGCCGCCGGGGACTGCGGTCAGGTTCAGCGAAAGTGACACCGGTTCTCCTCCCCGCTGCAACTGTCCAGCACCCTCCACTCCCCTCCCTTCCCCCACGGTGCTGAATCTCCGAGCCCCCACGGGAATTCTTCCAGCCCTGGCTCCAGATCCTTTCCACTTACGGAGCAGAACCGGTCCCAGGGCTGGGTGACTTGGGGTCAGCGTCCTCCCTCTCAGCTCCAGACCCCAGGCTGGGGAGGTCACAGGAGGGTACACCCTGCTTCTTAGATTTTTTAAAAAGTCATTTTTAAAATGAGGATGAATGGCTTCCTTAGAACGTGTTCTATTTTTATAAAAGGTTCATGAACAAATGTTTCTTGTTCATCGTTATTCTAGCACACCAGCAACTTACTAGATAATAGATTTTAGACTTAGAAAAATAAAAGAACCCCAAACTTCATAAGCCTTCCTCCCACTTAGATGTAAATTACCACTGTAGCTCAAAAAGGAAATAGCTTTATTCTCAGATGATAAAAATAAGTAATCCTATTTACTAAAAACTCAAACTGAAAAGGGCAAAGAAAAAAAGAGAATTACTGTCAACATAGTGGTGGCCAGCCACCCTTCCTGATCCCTCTTCTATTCATTTATACTTATGTAGTTATAGACATAAATGCACACTCTTTTTTTGTTATTGCTGTTGTTGTTGTTTGAGATGGAGTTTCGCTCTATCGCCCAGGCTGAGGGCAGTGGAGTGATCACTGCACTCCACCTCCCGGGTTCAAGTGATTCTCCTGCCTCAGCCTCCTGAGTAGCTGGGAGTACAGGCGCCCGCCACTACACCCGGCTAATTTTTGTATTTTTGGTGGAGATGGGGCTTCACCATGTTGGCCAGGATGGTCTCGATCTCCTGACCTTGTGATCCGCCCACCTAGGGCTCCCAAAGTGTTGGGATTACAGGCGTGAGCCACTGAGCCCAGCCAATGCACGCTCTTATGCTAACAGGATTACACTGTACTTGCTAGGAATTTTTATTCTATTTTTGCCTATCCACATGCCAGAGCCTATTTTCTTAAAAGCTATCCTGAAGAACAGTTACATTGCAAAACAAAATAGGCTTTTGTATTGTCCTAGCATGAACATGGGCTGTCTTTCCTTTCTGGGGAAGAATTCTTGGTGGTTCAGGCCAGTTCCTTGGGCAGTTGCAGAACCTTAGAAAATCTGAAACTGGCTGGGCACAGTGGCTCACGCCTGTAATCCCAGCACTTGGGGAGGCCAAGATGGGTGGATCACCTGAGGTCAGGAGTTCAAGACCAGCCTGGCCAACATAATGAAACCCCATCTCTATTAAAACTACAAAAATTAGCCGAGCGTGGTGGCATGCACCTGTAGTCCTAGCTACTTGAGAGGCTGAGGCAGGAGAATCACTTGAACCTGGGAGGTGGAGGTTGCAGTGAGCCGAGATCACTCCATTGCATTCTAGCCTGGGCGACAGAGCAAGACTCTGTCTCGGAAAAAAATAAAAATAAAAGAAAATCTGAAATTGAGGAGGGCTGGAGCCCTGTGGGGATGTAGGACACAAATGTCTTGAGAAAGGAGGTCTCCAAGCTGCCTGGGAACTTGCAGGAAGGTTCAAGATATTTCTGCAGAAGTCCTAGAATAAGCTATCCAAGCTCTAAGTGCCAGAGCCTGAAGGTTCCTGAAGGCTGAGAAGTGGTTCCAAACCCTGGTTATTCATGAGATGCTCCTGGGAGCTTTCAAACCCCCTAGCTCCACCCCACACCAATTGATTCAGAATATTAATCTCCCCTCCCTCAGTGACTGATGTATGTTATCAGGGCTGAGGATACCCCACCCAGTTCAACCTCCTCCTTTCATAACTGGGGAAACAGGAAATAGTGGCTAAGCTATCTTAAATACACAGTGAGCCTGTGGTCCCATGGCTGGTCAGTTGCAGCCTCGGGACTCAGCCCAGGTCTGCTTGACTCTAAGAATCAGTACAATTAATGTGAGATACTTGGTTTCCTTAGAAAAGTAAGGTGTTGGAGGCCAGACGTGGTGGCTCATGCCTGTAATCCCAGCATTTTGGGAGGCGAGGCGGGTGGATCACTTGAGCCCAGGACTTTGAAACCAGCCTGGGCAACATGACAAAACCCCGTCTCTATTAAAAATGCAAAAATTAGCCAGGTTTGGTGGCACACACCTGTAATCCCAGCTACTCGGGAGGTTGAAACGAGAATCGCTTGAACCCAAGAGACGGAGGTTGCAGTGAGCCGAAATCTTGCAGCTGCACTCCAGCCTGGGTGACAGAGCCTGGTTGAGACTCTGTCTTGGAAAAAAAAAAAAAAAAAGAAAAGTTAAGTAAGGTGTTGGATTGAACTGTTAGTCCCAGTTTGGTATGCATGCTGGGTATCTGTAAATTTTCTTCTCAGAATTTGTGTGCTAGACCAGCTACAGAATTTGCCAGGCCCAATACAAAGTATTAGTGTAGGGCCTTTTGTTGAGAAATTAAGAATTGCATAGCCAGGCATGGTGGTGTGTGTCTGTAGTCCCAGCTACTTGGGAAGCTGAGGCTGGAGGATCACTTGAGCCCAGGAGTCGGAGCTCAACTGTGCCTGGCTGGGTCGGGCTTTCTTGAGAATCCTGAGAGTGGATGAAGCTCAGAGTGCGGTTCTCAACTGAGCAGCATCAGTGCCACCTGGGAGCTACAGTGAGCTATGATCACCCCACCACCCTCCAGCCTGGGCAACAGAGCAAAACCATGTCTCCTTAAAAAAATGTCAGCATAGGTCAGATAATCTCAGCATTTGGGGAGGCCGAGGTAGGAAGACTGCTTGAGGCCAGGAGTTCATGGCCAGCCTGGGCAACATTGTGAAACCCCTTCTCTATAAAAATTACAAAAATGGCCAGGTGCGGTGGCTCATACCTATAATCCCAGCACTTTGGGAGGCCGAGGTGGGCGGATCACCTGAGGTCGGGAGTTCAAGACCAGCCTGACCGACATGGAGAAACCCCATCTCCACTAAAAATACAAAATTAGCCAGGTGTGGTGGCACATGTCTGTAATCCCAGCTACTGGGGAGGATGAGGCAGGAGAATCGCTTGAACCTGGGAGGCAGAGGTTGCGGTGAGCCAAGATTGTGCCATTGCACTCCAGCCTGGGCAACAAGAGTGAAACTCTGTCTCAATAAGTAAATAAATATAAAAATACAAAATACAAAAATACTAGCCAGGTATGGTGGCATGTGCCTGTAGTCCTAGCTACTAGGGAGGCTGAGGTCAGAGGATTACCTGAACCCTGCAAGGTGAAGGCTGCAGTGAGCCATGATCATGCCATTGCACTCCAGCCTGGGCAACAGAGTGAGACCTTGTTTAAAAAAAAAAAAAAAAAAAAAAGAAAAAAGAAAAAAGAAAGAAACTAAACATCTCTGAATCATGGGAGTCAGTTCTACCACTAGCACTGAGTAAATACCACACTGGTTATTTCACCACCATGAGCTTCAGTTTATTTGTCTGTGAAATGGGATCACTGGTAAGAGAACCCCAGACTCCCTTTCCTAGCTATTATAAAGATCTATTGAGAATTTTGTCAGGGATGAGGTCTAATGCATTTGTGAGGGGTGGTGTTGTTTATTTGGAAGTCTATGGAGGAATGTATTACTTGGGATACTGGCATTTTCTGGGTCAGGCTTGCTTGCTTTTTTTTTCTTTTCTTTTTTGAGATGAAATCTTGTTTTCTTGCCCAGGCTGGAGTGCAGTGGCACGATCTCAGCTCACTGCAACCTCCACCTCCCAGATTCAAGTGATTCTCCTGCCTTAACCTCCCAAGTACCTGGGATTACAAGCACCCGCCACCACACCCAGCTAATTTTTTGTTTTGTTTTGTCTTGTTTTTGGAGATGGAGTCTCGCTGTGTTGCCAGGCTGGAGTGCAGTGGTGCGATCTCGGCTCACTGCAACCTCTGCCTCCCGGGTTCAAGCGATTCTCCTGCCTCAGCCTCCCGAGAAGCTGGGATTACACACATGCGCCACCACGCCCAGCTAATTTTTGTGTTTTTGGTAGAAATGCGGGTTCACCACGTTGGCCAAGATGGTCTCAATCTCTTGACTTCGTGATCTGATGGTCTCCATCTCTTGACCTTGTGATCCACCCACCTTGGCCTCCCAAAGTGCTGGGATTACAGGCGTC